AAACCAGGGCTTCTCAACTGCAGCACTGCAGATACTTTGGGCTGTACAATTCTCTATTGTGGGAGCTTATCCTGGGCGTTGCAGGGTGTTTAGCAGCATCTTTGGCCTCCACCCATTAAATGCCGGTTGGAGCAACCAAAATTGTTTCCAGACATTGCCAAACTTACCCTGAGGGCTAAAATCACCCACCCCTGTGAGAACCCCTGCCTTGGCCACACTTACTGCCAGATTCACTGAACATGGTGCACGCACTGTTCACACGCTGGGTGTCCCTTCACTGAGCGGCAGACAAAGGCAGGGAGGCTCTCGTGGCTTGGGGGGCTGTAATCAGCCTGCGGTGGCCAGTGTTGTTGCCTTTGGAGGACTGGCACCCAGCTCACCATTTCAGCTGGCAATTATCTGAACAGAAGTGCTCTAATTGCCTGAAGATCGAGTTTCCTCTGGGGGTCATTTTTTTTTTCAAGTCTCCTGTTGTTGTTTATTTATACTCATCCCAATAAAAAGCACGTGCTCAGCTGCACAGAGTGTTAATGACGGGAGGGTCGCTCCAGACAGCGCCTGGGGAGGCGTCTGCAGATTCATCCACCAGAGATTTCTCCTCCGCTGGATCTGTCTGGCAGGGCCCTGGGGGGTCTGAGGTGGGGTGTGTGTGTATGTGTGTGTGTGTGTGCATGTGTGTGTGTATGTGTGTATACACACTGAGAAATGGGCATTTGTTGCCTCTCTAAGTTTGTACTTGTAATAACACAAGTGCCTCCTCCAAGGAAGTTTCTTTCTTCTTGTCTGGCCACCAGACTGGGTCTGTGCCAGCTCAGACTTCCTGCACCCCACGCCAGGCCCCTGTGTCTTTCAACTTGATTCTGGGGGTGCTGAGACCCAAGGCAGTCCCCGCTGCCTCTCCCCCAGCAGGGCAGCTAATACAGTTAATGAGGAAGCCACACGTGTGTAGCACTTCATGGTGAACAAGCCGCTTTCTCATCGGTCATCATCATGATCAGGATATTAAATAAGTCATCTTTATTCAACACTGACTCTGTGCCAGCTGCTATACAGGGCTACGTTCCTCCTTTCATCCATTCATGCATGCATACATTCCTTCATCCAAACTGATAGATATTGAGTGCTGCCATAGCCCAGCCATCATTCAAGTGCTGGGGGAGTGAGAAACAATGGCCCCACTCCCCCCATCAACCACACAAGGGCTTTATAACTGTGAGCACTGGTCGTGCTTGGGGCCAAAAGCCAGGCTTTGGGGTCAATTCAGCTTCGAAGGCTGGCTATGTGTGGACTAACAGTGGGATCTTGAACAAGTTGCTTAACATCTTCTAGAAGCTCCTTTGCATTTCAGTTTCATTCATTATCTGTGAAACGAAGGTGGTAATTGAGCCTCCTGATGCTGTTATGAGGATTCAGCAAAGAAATACATAAATGAATAAGATAATTTCAGTTACTGATAAATGGTAGAGATGAAATAAAGCAGGGGAATGTGATAGAGATTTGCCAAGAGGGGCTTTTTTTTTTTTTTTAAACATGCAATGTCACCAAAGAAGACCTCAGACCAAGCTCTTAAGGACAAATAACAAGAAAATTCCTGGAAGAGAAGCAGCCCAGAAAAATGCCTGGAGGTGGCAACATGGGTGAATTGCTCAAGGAACAGAAAAGCATCCAGGGTGTCTAGAGCCTAGAGTACGGGCAAGAGGGGGACGTCGGAGGGAGGGTGTACTCAGAGACCAGTAACTGGACTTCTTCAGCCATGATGAAGAGTTGGGATTTTGTTCTAAGGACAATGGAAGCCATTGGAAGGTTTTCTGTGCCAAAGCGATGTGATCTGAAAGAAGCTTTTATGAAGCCCACAGTGTCTACTGTGCAGAGAATGGAGTAACTAACAGGCCAAGAGGAACCCTAGGGAGACCAGTTAAGAGACAGAGGCAGTGAGGAGGTGGGTGAGTTTCCCATTGCTGCTGTAACAAGCTTACCACAAATCTCATGTGGCTTAAAAAAACACACACATTTATTATCCCAATGTTTTGTAGGTCAGAAATCTGACATGGGTGTCACTGGGTTAAAATCAAGGTGTCGACACGGCTGTGTTCCTTCTGGAAGCTCCAGAGGAGAATCCATTCCTTGCCTTTCCCAGCTTCTAGAAGCTGCCTGCAGATGTAGGCTGTGGCTTCTCGCCCATCTTGGAAAACAGAAATATAGCATTTTCAAATCTCCCTCCTCCTGTCTCCCTCTCTCTCTCCTACATCATCACCTCTCCACTAACTCTGACCCTCTGGCCTCCCTTTCCTAAGGACCACTCTGATTACATTGGACTTGATACAGTTTGGATTTGTGTCCCTACCCAAATCTCATATTGAAATGTAGTCCCCAGTGTTGGAGGTGGGGCCTGATGGAAGGTGACTGGATCATAGGGTTGGATTTCTCATGAATGGGGAGAGTACCATCCCTCTTGGTACTGTCCTCTCAATAGTGAGTGAATTCTCATGAGATCAGGTCATTTAAAAATAGGGAGCATCTCCCCCTGGCTCTCTTGCTCCTGCTTTCGCCATGTGGGGTGCCTGCTCTGGATTTTCCTTCCACCATGAAGAGAAGCTTCCAGAAGCCTCCCCAGAAAGAGATGTTGCCATGTTTCCTGTACGGCCTGCAGAACTGTGAGCCGATTACACTTCTTTTCTTACAAATGACCCAGTCTTAGGTGTTTCTTTATAGCAGTGCAAGAATGGACTACCACCGGGCTCATCTAGACAATCAGGATAATCTCACTATCTTAAGGTCCTTAGCTTAATCACATCTCAAAAACCCCTGTTGCCATGTGAAGTCACCCAGTCACAGGTCTTGGAGATTTGGGTAGTGGGCACCTTTGGGGCCTATTATTCTGCTGATCCCGGGAAATGAGCCATGATGGAGGCTTGGATGGTGCCAGTGGGACTGGAGAGTGGTAAGTACATTGGGGATTTATTTTGAGGCAGAACCACAAAGACTTGCTGATGGAGGATGTGGGGCTGTGAGGGAAAGACCAGAATCAAGAGGGTGCCCTTTACTGAGATGGGGAGAGAGGGCAGGCTTGAGTGGGGAAGAGAGGCCGATCAAGGGGTTTTGTGGCCATGATTATTTCGAGTTGCCCACTGGAGAGTTGAGGGGACATGTCCAGCAGGCAGCTGGATGAATGAGCCTGGAGTCAAGGACAGAAGCTGGGCTAGTCATGTGAGTGTGGCGGTCTCCAGATCCAGAGGTGAGATGTAGCCACAGGACAGGATGAGAGCATCCATGATGTCAGGAAGAGCAGAAGGTCATGGGCTTTTAAAGATGGAACCAAAGAGGAGAAGCCAGCAAAAGCATACACTACTCCTAAAACAGAGATCTGACCTCATCACCCAAGGCCTAGACACTTCTCTCCTCTTAGCGATTAGTTTCAACATCAGCACTTGGGAATAGAGAGGGTTCTCACCATGAGTGGGTACTCACTCTATGCTAAAAATAGTGCTAAATTCCTTACATACATTATTACATTTCAGACCCCCTTTCTTCTCTTCCTCTTTCCCTATTTTGGGGGAAGGGTGGGAATGATGGAATTAGGTTGAGTGTGGAGGGTGGGAGAGGTGGGGGTGGGGTTGAGTGTGGAGGGAGAGGTGGGGTGGGGTTGAATGGGGAGAGTGGGAGTGGTGAGGATGGTGTTGAGTGTGGAGGGTGGAAGTGGTGAGGGTGGGGTTGAGTGGGGAGGATGGAGTGGTGGGGGTGGGGTTGAGTGTGGGGGAGCGTGGAGTGGTGGGGTGGGGTTGAGTGTGGAGGGTGTTGTGGTGGGGTGGGGTTGAGTGGGGAGGATGGAGTGGTGGGGTGGGGTTGAGTGGGGAGGATGGAGTGGTGGGGTGGGGTTGAGTGGGGAGGGTGGAATGGTGGGGTGGGGTTGAGTGTGGAGGGTGGGAGTGGTGGGGTGAGGTTGAGTGTGGAGGATGGAGTGGTGGGGTGGTGTTGAGTGGGGAGGGTGGAATGGTGAGGGTGGGCTTGAGTGGGGAGAGCGGGAAACCACTTAGACTTTGTTGTTTTTTCCAGCCAAGGTAGGAACTTTGGCTTTTTATTGAGATCAAAGGGAATGCATGAGGGGCATGGACAAGGGCTGGCGGGCTGCAGGTGGAAAGTGCATGCAGTGGGAAAGTGCAGCCGCCGGGTCCAGGGTGCATTTTAGAGAGGACAGGCTGGAGGTCATGGTGTGGTCCAGAAGAAAGCGCAGGAACTGGAATCATGGTGTTAGTGGTTTAGAAAAGTGGTCCGATGCCAGAGGCTAAGTCACTTGGCTTGGTTCACACACCAGCAAGTTCAAACCCAGTTCAGTTGTGTTGCAAAGCCAATATGCTAAGTCACCATAATTTAACAACAGGTTTCCCCTCAAGGTGTCATGACATTTTTGTTTTGGGTCTCAACCAACCAGCATTTGTCAAAGAGAGATGGAGAGAGAGAGAAGGAAAAGAAGGAAGGAAGGAAGGAAAGAAGGAAGGAAGGAAGGAAAGAAGGGAGGAAGGGAGGAAGGGAGGGAGGGAGGGAGGGAGGGAGGGAGGGAGGGAGGGAGGGAGGGAGGAAGGGAGGAAGAAAGGGAGGGAGGGAGGAAGGGAGGGAGGGAGGGAGGGAGGGAGGGAGGAAGGGAGGAAGAAAGGAAGGAAAGAAGGAAGGAAACAAAAATAGAATAGAATAAAATCACAGTTTATTGCACGGAGTGAAGGGAAGGGCTGCTGCGTGCATATGTGTTTCTGTGCTGTATGCTTATCTGCAGATGCATATACCAGGCTGTGATATGAAACCTATTTTTATGACTGGTTGTGGCTCCTCTGAGCTGCTATTGGGTTTGCCCTCCACCCCCTCTCACGTTGACTCTGGGCCCTTCAAAATGAGTCATAGAGAGTCATTACCATTACCCCCGCCTCCAACCCGGATTCTGCTGTATACCTCATGGTTTCTGATAATACAGCATTGTGAAGTCGGGGGAAGGCTGGCAGAGGGGCCCAGTCCAATCTGTGACCTGAGCTACCATGGCAGGGTCCAGGACCAGAAGAACGTGGTGTGAATCCCCAGTAATGCAGGTCCTTTCCAGGCCAGGCCCCTGGTCCCCAGGAGTGCGGGGCTGCCCGAGGTCTACTGCTGCCTTATCCAGAGCTGCCGCTCCCAGCGATGACTCAGAGTCCCTGTGGCCCCAGCATCATCCCTCCATCCCTGGCTGTGAGGCAGGAGCAAAGTTGCAGACCTGAGAGGCCTTTAATTTGTTTGATGTAAGACTTTGCCGCCAAAGTGCTTTGCCTATGAGGTCTGGCTTGGCCTGGTCTCTGAGAAAGAACAAACACGGTCCTCACTGGAAGGAACCTGGAGAACGGGAGAGGAGAGGCTGCTGCTGTCTGCCCTCCCAGCAGCAGGTATAAAGACAATGGGCTTCTAAGTGCCCTAGAGTCCCAGCTGTGTAATTTAAGGCGAGTTTATCTCTCATAGCCTCAGTGTTCTCATTTGCCAGCACCTGTCTTTCTCCTTCATAGCCACTGTCACTCTTGCAATGATATCAATGCTTACATTTCAGATAGATTCCAAGCCAGGTTGAAAGGAATGTCAAGACCCTCCCTTTCTTATCACATATGTATCAACTCCCTTCTACCTTACCTCCCTCCACTTGGAGCCAGTTCTAACTGGTGAAATGTAGCCAGAGATTCCTGGAAAGGCTTTCCTTCTCAAGTAAAGCCTGGCTCAGAGAAAACCACTGGTCTCTTTCCTTTTCTTCCTCTAGACATGAACATGGAGCAGGAAGGAGCATGGAGAAGACAAGAACAAGACTCTCAGAAGGAAGTGGTGTGGCTGGAGCCATAAGAACTGGTCGTGGAGGAGGTGAGGAATGTGGGAGAGGTGGGGGTGTGGTTGAGTGGGCAGGGTGGGAGAGGTGGGGATGTGGTTGAGTGGGGAGGGTGGGAGTGGTGGGGTGTGGTTGAATGGGGAGGGTGGGAGAGGTGGGGGTGTGGTTGAGTAGGGAGGGTGGGAAAGGTAGGGGTGTGGTTGAGTGGAGAGAATGGGAGAGGTGGGGGTGTGGTTGAGTGGGGAGGGTAGGAGAGGTGGGGATGTGGTTGAGTGGGGAGGGTGGGAGTGGTGGGGTGTGGCCTGGAGATACAGCAGCCACTTTTGGACCATGAGGATATTTGAAAGACATGAAGAACAGGATGATAGAAGCACATTTGTGACATTGTGATATACAGCAGACTTTATGCCCACCTTTTGATTTCTTACCTATTTAAACACTGAAATCTGGTCTTTTACTTGTAGGCAAATACAATTTCTGACTTACATAATGACGTACTCACAAGAAGCCTCTCCTTGAATGTAATAATTCAGCAAACAGTTATGGAGTCCTTACAATGTGCTAGTGGAACTTTGAAGATGAATCCAAATTTGGATCCCGGCCTGAAAAGGCTCAAAGTCTAATATGGGAAGTAAGAAATGTAGAATCCATATAACGACGGGGTCTCCCCGCCCCTTAAGATCTGGTTATGAGTAGCTGCAATTTCTGTGAATTCCAAGGTGGTTTTACCACCTCAAGTTCACATTTAGATCTGACTTCTGGCTTCTTTTAGGAAGTTCCCATCTCTAAATCTCATCTCTGTTCCTTTATTTCTGCCAACCTGAATCCAAATGTGAAACTTATCTTCTTTTATTAACCAATCAACCACCTCCTGCCAAAACAACAACAAGAACAACAACACAAAAAACAAAAACAAAACAAAACAAAACACGGCGTACACAAGACCTTTGTTTCTACAGTAGACTTGGCTAAAGGTTTGGGCATGCATACCCCCAAAATTAAAAAATGGAAAATTGAACACTTCTGTCCTTCAAAGTTATTTGGTCTCTCCTACAGGGTCTTGCCCTTATCTCCGTTCTCCCCGCACTCCCACCACCTCACTTACTCCCATGGCATGCTACATCCTTGAATAAATATGCCCAAGGCAGATGTGGTAATGAAGATTGGTTGAGAATTCTGAAGGTAGACGTCCCAGACGCCAATCACACAATTTCTCTGTGGCTCACTTTTCTTATCTGTGAAAAGGGAGCTAATTACCACCAGCCCCAACCCCAACAAACCCACCTCACAGAATGGGGTGAGGATTCAGTGGGCAGTCCCTGGCATAGGGGCCACAGGTTCTATGACACTGAGTATCATTCATATGCTAGTTCTGTATTCTGTGTCCCCTATTGCCCCAAGACAAGTTCATTTAAAACAAAAAAAGCTTCTATCTCAGGTAGAGAACCCATCAATCATCACTGGGTATTGTCTTCCAGTGATTCTGAGCAGAAACAACAGGGAACGTATGTCTTCATGTGACTCAGCGAGCAAAGAGATGGAGTCTTTTCCAAGAAGAAAGTGGGAGGTTTGGGACCACTGACATATTTGGCCCACTGATTCCATTCCCCTAGACCAACACATGTTCATCAAATTGAATCACTCTTATGGGGAATTCAACGAAACTCTGGTGCCCATTGCATTAGTTTTTGATGATGGAATGCTCTTTCCTTGTGACCTTGAACTTGAGGGGTCTGGCTACCCCTCTGAAATGTGTTTTTTGAGATAAAATCATATGACATAAAATTCACCCTATTAATGTGTACAATTCAGTGGTTTTTAGTATATTTACAATGTCGTGCCACCATCACCACAATCTAATTCCCAAACATTTTTATCTCCTTAAAAAGCAGCCAGCCTTCATTCCCCCATCTGCAGCCCAGGGCAATCCCTAATTTATGTTCTGTCTCTGTGGCCTCTCAGAGACTTCTGGCACCAATCTCTCCAGTCTATGAGCTGTGAACTCCCTTTTTAGCAGATCTGACCCTGACACCTGCCATCTTACCTTTGCTTCTGGACACCCAGATTGAATCTTCCCTAAAAACCAACTTTGCATTGTTTGCCCAACATTTGAACCTCCTTCCTACATTTGCATAACTGCTCAGTGTATGACTCATTGTAGGAGGAGTCAGTGGCCATCTTTCTCTATTAAGGCTCCAAAAGATAGATTCATGCTTTCCCAGACTTCCTTGCAACGAGTCCTCAGATGGGTGTGCTAGGCTGAAGCTCAGCCAATGACCATGAATCTGAAGCCAGTGGCCCGAAAAGTCAGGGGCAGTGAAGAATCTTTGCTGGTAGTGTGGTGGTAGCAGTAGCAATGTCAAAGGCCTACCGGCAGCAGGGCTGTGGGCCCATGGCAGTAGGATCATGCTCAGTGGCACTAATGTCCGCACTGGGCTGGCTCTTTCTGATTTTGATCATCTCCTAGACTCCCTTGCTCCTGGCCACTGTTTAAGCTGGTCCTCCAGCCTTCTTGGCTGTTGAGTGAGCTAGATCCTATCTTTAAAATAGATTTCCTTTCATTTAAAATCATCCAGAGGTGGTTTCCACGCCTGCAGTCAAGGACTCCATCTGGAAGAAGTATTTTATGAGTAGAGTCTTAACCAGAATGGGCCATAGGGTTTTGCCCCAGAATACCGCAATTGAGAGGGCACCATATTCTGAAGCTTGAACTTCCTTCCCCATGCTCTTCCTTATTCCTGTTGCAGTGCTGAGCTGGCCTCTTCTTCTGGGAGCAGTGCCTTAGCAGCAGGTGGACAAAGACAGAGATGGAGACTTAAGATCAAAGGCACTGAGTGTCTGACCAGGGGTCCTTCCGTGAGGGAGGAGAGCAAGCCCCTCCTCTGTTTCTCTGAATTTCCTTATTTAGAAACTGAATTTCTGGGCCAGGTGTGGTGGCTCACACCTGTAACCCTAGCACTGTGGAAAGCTGAGGTGGGTGGATCACCTGAGGTCAGGTGTTTGAGACCAGCCTGGCCAACATGGCAAAACCTCGTCTTTACTAAAAATACAAAAAGCAGCCACGCATGGTGGTGTGCGTCTATAATCCCAGCTACTCAGGAGGCTGAGGCAGGAGAATCACTTGAACTTGGGAGGCAGAGCTTGCATTGAGCTGAGGAGCTGAGATCGTGCCATTTCACTGCAGTCTGGGCAACAAGAACAAAACTCCATCAAGAAAGAAAGAGAGAGAGAGAAAGAAAGAAAGAAAGAAAGAAAGAAAAGAAAGAAAGAAAGAAAGAAAGAAAGAAAGAAAGAAAGAAAGAAAGAAAGAAAGAAAGAAAGAAAGAAAGAAAAGGAAAGAGAGAGAGAGAAAGGAGGGAGAGAGGGAGGGAAGGAAGGAAGGAAGGAAGGAAGGAAGGAGAAAGAAAGAAAGAAAGAAATTGAGTTTCTGGCTGCTTGTTATGGTTTGAATCATGTCCCCACAAAACACCTGCTGAAGTCACCCCCCCCACCGCGCCCAGTATCTAAGAATGTGATCTTCTTTGGAAATAGGGTTGGTGCAGATGTAATTAGTTAGGATGAGGTCACACTGGAGTAGGGTGGGCCCTTAATCCAGGAGGGCTGGTGTCCTAATAAGAAGGAGGATGACACAAAGACAGACACACAGGGAGAATGCCATGTGACCATAAGAGCAGAGGTTGGAGTGGTGCCGCTACAAGCCTGGGATTGCCGGTCACCACCAGAGCTAGAAAGATACAAGGAGGGATTTTAGCCTCAGGAACTATGAGGAGCATTTATGTTGTTTTAAGCCACTCAGTTTGAGGTAAAACTAAAGGAAACTAAAACATCTTTTGAATCCCAATTCCTGGCCATACCTCTGCTTAACAGGACAGCCTTGGAAGCAGACAGAATGGGGTTTGAGTCTCAGCTCTGTTATTACCTGCCGCATGGGTTCGGAGGTAAGCTGTTTACCTCCTTGGCATCTCCATTTCCTCATCTGCAAATCAAAGATGAACATAGCTCCTTCAAAGACTGTTAAACATTTAGAGGAGCGCACGGCACATAAATGGCAACTATTAATATGAAAGAACTGCTTCCTGTCAGTATCTGGCCCCAGTGGTCGCTTCCTGTTGAGGGAAACAAGTCTAAAGCCTGCTCTTAGAATACAGATCGGTGCCGTGGATTATTCAGATACAATGAATTTTCTTTTTTTTAAGAAAAGAGATAATTCTGTGTTTGCTATATTTTTCCTTCCTATTTTTTAACATCTTTCTGCACTTTTGGTTTATGGTGCAGGAAACCCTCTTTACCAGGAAAAGTGGGTGCTACCTCCTTCACATGGGGTGCTACCTCCTTCACATGGGGTGCCTACTGTTGCCCAAGGACAGAGCCTCCAGCCAGCCAGGGTAGAATGGAGAGGGTGCAGGTGCTGCCCAGGCCAGTAATCTAGCTGCCGATCTGGGGATAGTCAAAGCAACCGGTGGCTTTAATATCCGCTCTTCACAGCTTCATCTCCACTCGAGATGGCTGTGCTGATTGTAATGCAATAAAGCTGGAGTTTTGCGGGGAGAATGCTGTCCCTGGTTATTTCATTTAGAAGCCATCGCAATACTCTTCCGGGAGAGATAAGAATGATTTAAGTAATTCAGGACTCCAGGAGTCCAGGACATTTATGGTTCCTTCTAACCCTGGGGAATTTTATGATTTGAGGCCTATGGCCACAGAGCAAAGCCAGCCTGCTGTTGATATGGAGAACAGATTTAACAGGTGTGAGCGCCTGTCGGTGCCAGGTGATTTATATACAACTGTCCACGTTTACCTCGCAACAACCTTTAGGGAACATTAGGCCAGGTTCCCTAGAAGTGGACCCTGTATAAAGATTCCTGTGGCCAGACACGGTGGCTCATGCCTGTAATCCCAGCACTTTGGGAGGCCGAGGCAGGAGGATCACCTGAAGTCAGGAGTTGGAGACCAGCCTGGCCAACATGGTGAAACCCTGTCTCTACTAAAAATACAAAAAGTAGCCAGGCATGGTGGTGGGCGTCTGTAATCCTAGCTATTTGGGAGGCTGAGACAGGAGAATCGCTTGAACCTAGGAGGGGGAGGTTGCAGTAAGCCGAGATCACGCCGCTGCATTCCAGCCTGGGCAACAGAGACAGACGCTGTCTCAAAAAAACAGAAATCAAAACAAAACAAAACAATCCTGTGCACGTGACTTATTAAGGAGGAACTCCCAGCGGAAACTGGCAGAGGAGATGGGGAGAGGGGTGAAAAGAGAAAGAAGCCCAGGATGAGTGTGATTTCAGGCCGAGACCTGTGCAGGGGAGCTTGAGTTTGCTCCTGCAGGGAAACCCTGGAGCATACCGTGCACCTGTCCTGGATGCCAGAAAGCTGGACTTCCATACCCCTGCTCCCACCAGTCACTGGCTCTGTGCCTTGAGGCTCAGCACAAATAAACTCCCAGGCACCTGTGGTTCCCATCTGTGCCTATAAAAGGCTTTAGTAACCCAAGGGCAGCAGACGAACATGGAGCAGGAATAAACAGAATACAAGGACATCTGGGTGGAAGTCACCAGTGCCTGCATGTGGAACTGTGAAGATCACCATTTTTCAGATTAAGAAACTGAGGCTCACAGTGTGAAATAACACTCTCTGGAAAGGTGAGTGACCAGGTCTGGATTTGAACCTATAATTCCAGAGTGTTTGTTCTTTCCACTGAGATTGCTAGATTGCTGGTGTCTGGGGTCCGGTGGCTGAAAGTACTGACTTCTCTTGTTTCTTTTTTCTATTAAAAATATTTATGTTAGTTTTCATGCCTAAAAAAGCAACAAATAGCAATGAGAACAAGTGATTTACTGCTCATACATAATGTGGACAAATCTCACTAGAGCTCTGATGATTGAAAGAAGCCTGACGCAAAAGAGTGAGATTCTCTTTATACAAAGTCACACACACACAGAGAAAAAATTCATCTCTTGTGATAAAAGTCAGTCTCTTGGTGACTCTTGCGGTGAGCATTAGGGACCGAAAGGTAGCCCCAAATGTATCTCTTGGGAGCTGGTCATGTTTAGGGTATTTTTTGAGTGTTGGGTACACAAATAGATTCAGTTTGTTAAAATTACTCAAGCTATGAATTTAAGGGATGTGTGCTTTCCATATGCAGGTCTTGCCTCAAAACAAGCATAAATTGAAGAAAAAAGTGAAAAGGTAGAAAGGGAGAAAATAAAATTGGTTATAATCCCACTCACTCAGAAATCACTGTGATTAGCCAGGCATGATGGTGGGTGCCTGTAATCCCAGCTACTTGGGAGGCTGAGGCGGGAGAATGGCTTGAACCTGGGAGGTGGAGGTTGCAGTGAGCCAAGATTGTGCCATTGGACTCACTTCAGCCTGGGTGACAGAGCGAGACTCTGCCCACCCATCCCCCCAACCCACAAAAACAGAGAGAAATCACTATGATTAATGTTGTCTTGATGTATATCTTGTAAAATGTTCCCACATGTGCACACACGCGCACACACATCCGCAAACATATGTGATGGAGTTTCTGGCTGTGTTGGGGGTGATTATCCTAACCTGGAGGGTGGACCATCTTGTCTTCTGTACTAACAGGAATAGGAAGTAAACCAGGGTCAGTGATCTTGGAAGAGCTGGGAAGGGATAGGTCCGAGAGACCCCAGATGTCCCAAGTATCTGCAAGGTGGAGCTTCCAGTGATGAGCGCTTTCATTTAAAACATGTGTCCCTATTTGCATGCCCACCACTGCCGATGTGGATTGTGGCCACATTCACAATTCATTTAC